CTTGCTAGACTTCACTGTCAGACACTATTGAGTGACTGACTGGCTTTTTTCTTCTTTGGTAATAACATACATAAAATGAGCTGTTAAGGGTACTTGAGTATTGAATCATAATAGATCAGTTCTGATCGGTTCATTATGTCCATTTCAGCCACCCCCCACCGTAATTTGTCCATTGAAGATAAGCAAACATTTTGTAGAGGTAAGCAAAAACATGAATATTCATGATCGCCATGGACTATTCGATTATTTACAGAGGGGTGCAATCGTGCACCACATCAAACTCCTCTCCTTTAAGTCAAGTATTTCATTGTATTATGTAGTTTGGTAGGTTTATTTTAATAACTGTTTAATTATCAGATATCAATGATAGTTTAAAGATATGGAAAATGTTCTTGTATTTTATATTTAGCAAAGTAATCTCACATACAAATTCACTACCAAGTGTCGTCTAATCCGCCGATTGTCGTCTGCTATATACGTCCAGCGAGCGAAATGAGACAACCGGAGCAATATGTGATGGGGCTTTTCTGTGTAAAAAAAATAATTATCATTTTGTATTGTTTGTATTATTATTATTATTTTTATTATTATTATTATTATTATTATTATTACTACTATTATTATTATTGTAATTATTATTATCATGTTATTATACTATCATATCATGCTGTTTACTTTTAATTGAAAAGGACTATGTATAGCTAGTCGCTAAATTATACTGAACCTGATTTGGTTTGTCTTTATAGGGATCTAAGCTCCACTCAGCTCAGCCACCTTCCAGCAGGCGTCTTTATCGGACTTTGTCGGTTATGGGAACTGTGAGTTTGCTTTAATACAACTTTTACCTCTTCAGCTATATTCAACAGTGGCCTTCCGGCCAATTCGGGCACTAGATCCAGTGGGAAGGCGCCCTTGTTCGGTGAATAACGTCCGAAATAAGAAGGATATCAATTTGGCCTCAGGAAGGGTGCGGGATTATATCAATTTTCTTGTCCCATCCCTCATCCTACCCAAGGGCGTCAATCCGGGGGACAAGGGGACACCCCCCTCCCCCCGTTTATTCACAGGTATGGCTGATCCGCCCCTGTGTAATTGTGTCTCCCCCCTCTCCCCATGCTCAAGCTCGGATTTACGCCCTTGATCCTACCCTTTACCTTTTCTCCCCCTTATCTTCTCTTTGCCCCCTTCACAATTAATGTCCATTAACATCGTGTAACATAAATATACATATATATAGATATTGGTGTAAAACTGCTGATTCTCAGTAATTAGATAGAAATACCGAGCTTTGAGTGATAGTATATAATGACACGACAATCAGCAATTCAAGGCCTCATTCATAATTCTGAATTTGACTGTAAAGCGTTCCCTTTACTTTGCTATAAGTGGATCTTTTAATTTTATGTTTTCTTATATTACAGGGCGCTTGATCACAATAGCCTGACTGTTCTTGAAAATGGAACATTCGAAGGTCTTCGTAATTTAGGCGGATTGTAAGTCTACAGAATATTATACTCATTTTGTCACGTTTGTTAATAAAAGCCTGCCCTGGAACGACAGTGAGCGAAAGTGTCACGAGATATTCAGACAAAAAAGTGATTGTATTTCAGAAAAATAATGAATCGTTCCAGGTAATCATAACGATTCGCACATTGAGAATAATAAATTTATGCTGCTGAATAATTTCATCAGTATATTATGGTTAAAGCCCCACTGTACTACTTGTAGCTACTTGCTCCCTCTATATAGAAAACAATGCCTGAGCGATGCCTGTTGGTCCCCATGATCCTCTTTTTCTTAGTTAATTGAGAGCTGAGTTGATAAGATAACCACCTGTCAGTCACTAGCAAGGTGGTCTAATCCCTCCTGGCAAAACTAGTGCAGACGGGCTTTAAGATAATATTGAAAAAAATTCCATGACACATCGAAATTTAATTACCTGTGTGACATTTGTTATGACCAAGCCATGACACCTTTATCAGACATGCACTGACAGACTGACGCGACGTGGCGATCGACACAACGGCACAAAAATAACTATCATCCAGCTTCAGTCTGCCAGAACACGTTTGAGAAAGATGTCTGGACTTAGACACCGAAATCGTGACACTGGTAATAAATGTTGATGTGTCTCAGAACTCTCTTCGAGAAGAAAAAAACTACTTTACAATAAATGAAAAGGTAATTTGTATACTGTCTATTTTTACCATCATGTAGAAATTTGGCGTTCAATCAGATTACTCGATTGTACGAAGGTTGCTTTAGAGGTCTTCAGAGCCTTTTCATCATGTAAGTAGGCCGATACTTTAGAGACAGGTATATATCATTCATGTAAAAAAAAAATAACAGATAACCATATTAAGAACTGGGGGGTGTTTCACAAAGATCCTAAGTAGAACTTAACATAAGTTAGACTTCAAAATTATGGACAGCCATTGAAGCCTTAAAATAAGGCCGGGGGGGGGGGCCATTATGGCCCCCCCCCTCCACAATTTTTTCGATTGCTCGGGAACGCATATGGATGGCGCCCCGCCGCTCGCTGACTTTTTTCTTTCGAGTCTTGCGCAACTTTTAAAATAATTTTTTTGAAAATCGGACCTACGGTTACAAGGTCACGTGACCTTTTGTCTTCGCATGTCAGCCTGAAAATCGCTCATTTTCGTGATTTGTGTACAAAACGTATGGCAAAGTCATTTTTCCTAAAAACAGATCAAACATGGGTTATTGGGTCTTGTTTAAAGTTTAGGGGTTGTTTTGGGAGTCAAAATAGTTGAATTGTAGTAAAAGATAAAATAAAACAACAAAAACAATGAAATACATAAGTTAAAAAAACAATGAAATACATAAGAAATTATCAAAACAAGGGATAACATAAGAAATAAGCTGGCTCTTCCAAATTTGTTGTCGTATTATTATTCAGAATGGTCTAATGAATATATCTAGTGAAAAAGAATGCTTAAATATGAATAATATATGATTTATTGGTAAAAATGTGATTTTTATGACTTTATTTGCATAAATTACCATAAATATGCAAATGAGTGAATTTTTCAAAAAATTGAAATTGCCATATTATTCTTTACACTTCACTTGACATGCGTGCAAATTTTCGCGGCGATCGGCCGCTTCGCGGCCGAGATCTTGAGGGGGGGCCATAATGGCCCCCCCCGGCCCTACTAAGACTTCAAATAGCCCGGCCTTATTAGGGTTAAAATGAAATACATTCAAAAGCAGAAATTCAAGTATTTTAGACTTTTTTTATCACTTTTACATCAAGAACATGAAATCTCCTTGATGATAGAAAATATGAATGATTTGAATCAACATTTTATGCCTTTCAAAATAACTTTTACAAAATATTTTCAAAGTCGCTAACAGCTTTTCATAATTTTTAAGTCCAACTTAGAGTTAAGTTCTACTTAGGATCTTTGTGAAACACCTTCCTGGAAACAATAAAAGGCGTAGTCAACACAGGCACTTGTAGGCTTTCAGGATTCTGTACCTTCTTAATTTCATTGATATTGTATTTATGCACGGTAAAATATATTGCACCCTCTGGCTTGTTTTCAGTCTTCACTATGCCGTGAACGAGATTTAGAAGAAGAATAAAGTAATTTGTACATCACACAAAATAGAACGCCCTTCAATGCACTTAATGAAATTAACATAATTACATAATCCAGTATGTTTTCGCAGAATGCTTGCGAAGTATGATTCATAAGTTGAATATAAATTATATCATCGCTCTGTTCTTTGTACGAATAAGATTCATAATCCATTACTTCAATTATTTGCCGATTAACCTGCAGTTGACAGTGATCAATACTTATCCAATCCACAGTAACTTTATTTTTTATTTTCCCTGTTATTGTTTGTGTGTATGTTGTATTTGTTTTGTTATCATTATTTCTTTTGCTTCATGGAATGTATGATGCTGTTTGTATCATCCTAATCGTCTATATGATATGTACAACTTTATTAAAAAAACGGGTATTACTATTAATGTGCTACATTTGTATATATTAACTGTTCTCAAATGTATTACCATGATTACATTATTATTTCTCTTTCAGAAATTTTGAATTCAATGATTTGAAAACTATCCCATCCGGTGCATTTTTTGATGTGGGGCAGACTTTGGAACGTTTGTAAGCTTGATCATTAATATTTTATTTGACATGTATGATTATATTAATGTTAACCTACTACTACGTTGTTGCCATATATTTGTTCTTATCTTTTTTTTTCCATGAAATGATTGTGACAATATGGTTTATTCGTGATGGATAAAGTTTATATGTTCTCAGAACTTTATTGTTCAATCGTTATGACTCTTCAGATTGATCAATAAAGTTCTGAGAAAATGTAAACTTCTTATGTCATGAATGATAAGAGGAAGAGGAAAGAATTGATTTACCAACTATTTCCAATTAATTATGAGCTTGTTAAGAAAGAGTACGATCTTGATTATCCAAGATGGCACCATAGGTATTACTCCTGCTATCCCTGAGGGCCTTTCAATTATCAGTACCTCAGCATTAATTCCAACTTCACCGGCAAGGGTCGGGTGGGATAAATATTGAGAAGACACCTTGTCCAAGACTATAATCGAACCCAGGGCCTCTTGTCAAGATACTGTACCACTGTACCACATGCATGCAGTGATTCTAATTCTGAATATAGTGGTGTTGGTTTGCACATAATTTATCAAGGCGCGTTGCTTGATGCTTTTGAAATATAACTGAATATGCAACCACTTAATGAAAGTTAAATTGATTTTCGAAAAAAGAAACCTCTGCCTTTGTCTCTGAAATCTCTGTTCGACAGTTCTATAGGTAAAGTTGGAGCCTCTTGATACTAATACCATTTAATTATGCTGAAGGCCTGTTTCCATAGTAGTTAATTTGTTAAATCAATGATTTTTCCCCTTCTTTTGGGGTTGATCAATCAGCAATTTATCTTTAAATTTCTTCAAACTTTGTCTTAGATCAGTAAATAATTGATTTCATTTGCATCTTTTATCTCATTTTATATAGGGTTATCACCCATAATCATTTGACGTCTATTAATGCATCTATTTTCTACGGGCTCAATAAGCTTGACTTCGCGTAAGTAAAGAGTGGCGGTCCAGATATTTAGGAGCTTTGCTCCCTCTTTATCTCTCTCTCTCTCTCTCTCTCTCTCTCTCGCTCTTTCCCACTAAAACGGTCTGCGAAATCACTCTAGCAGTCTGGCGGTCAGTCTGTCCTAATCCTTCACTGTTCAGCGATCCGCACTGATTTTTATTTTCAAATCATTGTGGTTAATAATAATTTCTATTGAAAAATATTATTTCTCCGCATTAAATTTCTTACAATTAACAAGTTTCTAACTTCAGTCGCTGAACTGGATTTAATGCATAAAATTGGAGCTAATCCATCGTCAAACTGTGACTGTGGAAAGATCCAAACTATGGATCACGTCATCGATGCTTGTCTGTTATCTACAAATCCCTTCACGGTGCTTCTGGACTTCGAGAGCTCGATGATGGGACAATCAGTTGGCTAAATAAGAATGTACTCCTTGATATTCTTCGTTTACCTCTAAACTTTTGAAGAACTAAATTATGGAGCAATTGTCACAGAGGCAAATGTCGGATCACCAACAATTTTTTTTTTACCACTTGTACCTTCCCCCCCCCCCCCAGGTCGTTCCAAGGAAATCCCATCACTACCATTGAACCTGGTGCTCTGAATGGTTTGCCTACGTTGAGGGATGTGTGAGTATTTGGGGTCATCTAAATGAAAACAAGGTGTTTTTTTTGCAAAATGGGGACACCATCTGATAAAAATAATAATAATAATTAAATTGCTAGCCGGAGAGGATGATGTGACATGTTACACCTTATTAAAGATGTCGGCAAGTCCACCTAAATGATTGTCGATAGGTTACGTTAGAGCACATGCTGGAAAATTTATGAGAAATTCGGAAAACATATCGTAAGCTTATATACACTGTCACAGATTATATTTTGAAATAGGAAAGCATTTTTGTTGTCTATATCCTCGATGACCAAATGTGCACTGGGGTATCCATCGTCTTCATTTGAAAGCCATGAAAATATCAACAACGCTATAGAAACAAATCTTAGGCATGTGAGCTGCCTCCACTTAGTTATGTGTAACGTGATGACAGCGTTTAAATGCAGGTTGTCGTTTTATTTGAAAGGACGGGAATTCTTTTGAAGAAGCGAAATAGTATCTGAATGTTAATTAAATCATCATTTAAACAAGCTGCAAACTTGTGACGAATGGTTCCCTTCAATATAAGCCCTCGGAAATAACTCTTTATCATATTTTTCTTGCTCTATTTTCAGGCGACTTCTTTCTTCTGACAGAATTCGCCTTCAGCCAAATACATTTGTTGGCCCTTCTAAGATTGAGTTATTGTAAGTATAGACTTACAGCTATCAGAATCCCGAGTTCATTTTACATGTTTTGAAGTTAGCACCGACTTGTTCTTGTTCGATTCTTTCAGTGTTATCCTGTTCCGATCCGCGTGACTTCAATGAAGTATGATGCCCTCGCAGTGGCGTACGCAGGAATTTTTCTGGGAGGGTATTTCAAAATTGAAAATCGAGCCGACCGATATGTCGCTCAGTGTGGGAGAGGGAAGAGGGATATCCCCAAGAATCGTATTTCCTCCCACCAGCATCCAAGTTAGATTGATAGTAATATGTTTTTGTGTGGATGCACTAATATAGGGTATTTTTTTCAGTTAAATCATGAAAAATGTGAATTTTGATAACAAATCAATAATTATGAATACACAATATTCAGAAAATAGTATCAATTCTTCAAAGTTCATAAAAGATCTTGTGAAATGTCATGCAAGCAATATGATAAAAATCATATAACCTGGCAAAGGCATGGGGAAATAAAGTTTTGGGGGATTAAAAAGGGAAATTAATGGGATTAAACTATATAAAGCAATTGATATATAGTGAGGACATTACGTCACAAACTGATAACCAAATTGGCAATTTGTGTAGTGATTTCACTTGTTCCATAGTTTTATATATATTTTTTAAAAAGTTCATAACTTTCTTATTAGTTATCCAATTTTGCTCAAACATCTTTTGACTGGTTTGTCTGATTTGTCTGCTTCTATTGAAAGTAAGTTATTTTTGGAGTGGACTTGTACTTTAATACCACGTCATTGACTGGGTGAAAATTCAATTATCCATCTGCCAGTAATTAACAGATAATGATGATAATAATAATAATAATAATAATAATAATAATAATAATAATAATAATAATAATAATAATAATATTATTAATAATAATTATAATAATGATAATGATAATAATAATAATGATAGCAATAATGATTTTTTCAAAATAAGATAATAAAAATATAAATAAGGATAATAATAATACTGCTATAATAATGCTAATAATAATACTGCTATAATAATGCTAATAATGGTAATGGTAATAATGATAATAATAATAATGATAATAGCAATGATAGTAATAATGAGAAAAAGTATCAAAAAACGTTTCTAAGCGCTTTCTTTTATAATTGTTATTACCCCTGTCATTGTATTCAATTGCTAATCCGCAACATGATAGAGCACTCGTTCCGCTCCCTGGGGACTATTCCGGACAGGCATCATTTTACAAGCGCACACATGCCAATCCAACCACATTAACTTTCGCATCCTATCGGGTACCCATTTAACAACTGGGTTGACGGTGGCAAATGTAGATTAATCTCTTGCCAAAGGACATTTATTAAGTACCGCGGAGGGACTCGAGCCGTGAACCATGCAATCCACAAGACGGCGACTTATCCACTAGACCTAGACACCTCTTCACATGCAAACAGTTAGGACAGGATGAATGGTGCAGTCATTGCAATTACTGCCTTCACTGCTCTAATTGGTGAGGGTAATATCACGAGAGAAATGACGCCTCGTGTCCGACGGGTGTACAAGACAGTGTCCATCCTTATGATAGCATGATCAAAGCAAAATTGCATTCTTTTATCATGTTGTTTACAAATAAGCGGGCATTTACATAATTATGGAAGAATAATATTAAATATGATTTTAAATAACTTGTAGTAAAATGGAGTGATAAGCCTTTTGTCGTCTTGCACACATCAGAGTAAAAGGCAATATTGATCAGAAAGCCAAATATAAGTCCATACTAATTTTGAATTTACAGTGACTAAAATTGTCGATGCGAGACTTTATAATTCACTTATTACAGTCTGCTGTTACAGCACTTTTCGTAAAATGTGCAGTGAGACTATTGGTCATATTTGGCAACTATTTTAGTGAAAATTAAAGCTTCAGTGTAATGGTCATCTCGTCTGTCTTTTACAGAGTTGTTCGAGACGAACGAGTGTGTTGCATCGTTCCAGAAAGCTTCGGGTGTATAACACGAGAACTGCCACATCCGCTCTTCACGTGTCGAAGGACATTCCTCCAAAATATGACTATCAAAGTGTTCATCTGGATCCTTAGCATCAGTGCCTTGCTTGGTAATGGGTTTGTCATCTTCACAAGATTGCGGGATAAACCGACAACAGCCACTGGTACTGTTCAATCCACCTTGATCAGCAATCTGGCAGTGTCGGATTTCTTGATGGGTATATACATGTTGATCATTGCTGTCATGGATCTGTACATTGGTGAAGCGTACTTCTGGGATGGCATCGGGAACGAGTGGCGAACCAGCAATGCTTGTCAAATCGCTGGGTTTGTCTCGTTCCTCAGCACCGAGGCATCGGTTTTCTTGTTGACCTTGATCAGCGTTGATCGCTTCATCGTCATCCAGTTCCCGTTTAGTCAGAATCGTCTGGGTGTCAAGTCCTCCCGTGTATTTGCGGTGATTGCGTGGCTTCTGGCATTTATTCTCAGTGTTGGCTCTCTCCTCTTAAACCAGCTGGAATCTGACGCACACGGCCTGAGTGATGTCTGCGTGGGACTTCCGCTCATCCGGAAGTTCTCCTCGGTATACTCGGAAGTGGACAGCTACACCTTGACTCGCTACGGTGTCACCACCTTCAACTTTCTTGCCTCTGGAACGTCCCCCACCTGGCAGTTCTCCATTGCCATCTACCTTGGAGTGAACCTCGTCAGTTTCCTGGTCATCATCTGCTGCTACGTCGCCATTTTCTTCAGTGTTCGCTTCAGCAGGAAGGCGGCAGGAAAGAGTGCGAAGTCGGCCACTGAGATCAAGATGGCGCTCAAGATGTTTTTCATCGTCGGGACCGACTTCTTTTGCTGGATGCCTATCATTATCATGGGGATCTTCATCCAAGCTGGTGTCATCACTCTCTCATCCAATATCTACGCTTGGTTGGTGGTCTTTGTTCTGCCCATCAATTCCTCTATCAATCCTTTCCTCTATACCCTCATCGATAAAGTAACCAAATAAGCACTGAAGTCTTATTTACAGTACATGAGTGAGAGTGTTTTATCGATGTATTGTTTTCACATTTTACCATCTCTTTTTTCTTATAATTTAATGAACTAGTTCGTACATGTAGATAGAATCTGCGCACCTGCAAATAAAGCTACTGGATTCGTGGTCATGAAAGTTATGTAATCATCGATGTACCGACAGCACGTATTCTTTTCAAGAGGGCAAACAAAATGTATTCAGAAGCACCTTTGTCACTTTGGCAGTGATTATTCTAAAATGCACAACTAAAGTGGATCTTCTCCGTGTTTAAAATACTTGTGGATGTTCGAGGTCATTATTTTGAACGTGTGCTAAGTCTGGAAACTATTAATGGTTATATTGGTGGTACATGTATTAATGTAAGTATAATTATGTTGATCAAAGTATTGCCTGTAGCACATACAATTTTTTACGGAGCTCTGACTTGCCCCCTGCCCCTTCGAATAGAGGAAAGAAAAGAGAGTAAAGCGGGTTGTATTAGTGGTTTTAGAGGGGGCTTAGGGGCTCAACCCCCCGTGAAAAATATTAAACCCCCATAATAACCCCCCCCCCCTAAAATCAAAAACAAATATTATTGTTTATAAATTTAAGCGAGGCACGATTCGAATTCAAATTCAAATTAAAAAAAAAAAATCTTTATTGATTATGATCCAAAAAATAAGATCATTCTTAATTTGATTTTAATAACAATGGATACCAATATTCAAAATTATAGTGAAAGATAGATCATTATTGAGTGCAAAAGTCAAAATTACAAAAAACCAGAAATGGCTAAAATGAACATATAGCTCCGTTTAGTCTCATTTGAGAACGCCCCCTATCGGCAGATTCCAGCAGCCTAACATGTACGTTAGCCTATGGACTTTTACACAAATAATCGTTAAAAATTCATTTTTTGTTGAAACAAAAAGCTCATCCACCCCGACGTACGTTATCTCTAGCTCTTTCATTGGAACCATCATGTCCCATTGACTTTTGAAATTTCACCCACCGTAACTTGATCAAAATAGGTAGCAAGCTCGCCATTGCCTATATAACACATGTACAGCAAGTCAAACTTTGGACTCAATTTATCACGCGATTGTAAGGTTATAAGTCAAGCACACGAAGGATAAGAAGCATGAATTATCATAGATCAGTTCTGATTTGTTCATTATGTCCATTTCATCCACCCCCACCGTAATTGTTCCATTCAGAATAGGCAAGCATTCCGCTGAGGTAAGCAAAAACATGAATATTCATGAACACCATGGACTATTCGATTATTAACAGAGGGGTGCAATTGTGCACCACATCAAACTCCCCTACTTTCAGTCAAGTATTTCTTTGTATTATGTAGTTTGGTAGGTTTATTTTACTAACTGTTTAATTATCAGATATCAATGATAGTTTAAAGATATGGAAAAGATTCTTGTATTTTATATTTATGTGAAGTATATATTTTATATCAAGTGTCGTCTGATCCGCCGATTGCCGTCTGCTTTATACGCGAACTAGCCTACGTTTGTGCTGGCGAAAATGAGAGAACCGGAGCAATATGTGTACGACTGCATGTCCCTTCTGGAATATAATACAGAGATAAAAATAAATTAAATTACTCGTAATATTTTTTACAGCCTTTTTTTTCAAGAAGAAAAGGGGAACAATTCAATTTGATAGTATATCAATATAAAGACCAATAGAAATATGTATATTTGTAAATGTGTGTGTGTTCAAATTCAGATTCGGATTCTTGCATAGTACACTCGTGTAGCGTCACTACGATATTCTGTTGATGAACAATATTTATCAAGGATATAGTAATTATAGTCAATTTGTAGAACATGAATGCAATCCCATCCGACCCGACCCCCCTCCCAAAGAACATTCTTCCAGAATTGCGCAGGGGAGATTGGGAATGGAAACATGCATGGTATGAAGATAATCCCGACGACCCTCTTCGATTCTCTCTCTAATCAGGAGCCTTGTTAATTCACATTTCATCCACTGAGCCCCCCCCCCATGAACCCATATAGACATATTGTATTCAAATGAGTAAAGTGATGTTCATCATTGATATTGATCCCCTTTCCTAACACCTTACTGTTCAAATTTGAGTGTCTTCATATTTATTTATAATATATAGGAAAGAGGAAGAAAGTGCATACGACTAATTCGTATTATTGCCAGGAAATCTGTTGCTTCGATTAAAATCTTTAAAATAAACAAGCATCTCTGATGCTCTCTTTCTCTCTCTCTCTCCCTCTCTCCCTCTCTCTTTCTCTCTCTCTCGACAACTATCCATCTCCATCAGATCACGAGCTATAAAATAAAGTGTTCTCATTAGTCGTCAGATTCCCACAAACCTCTTAATCTATTCCTTTTATTTTGTTGTTGCTTTCAACTCAATGTTGGACAAGAGTTTTCCTCGGACGGAGAGAGAAAAGATTAGGATTTGTGATGGAAGATGTGTCTATGGTTGGAAGAGAATGGAGAGAGAGAGAGAGAGAGAAGGGAGAGAAATACGTTAGGAGGGAGAGGGAGGGAGGGAGGGGAAGGAGAGAGAAACAAATGTCGCAAACAACTTGTGTGTGTGAGATCGAAAGAGAGAGAGAGAGAGAGAGAGAGAGAGCGAGAGAACGAAAGAAACAGAGAGTGTGTGAGAGAGAGAGAGAGAGAGAGAGTGGAGAGAGAGAAAAAGAGAAAGAGGGGGACGCAGGAGAAAAATAGATGTTGGAATAAGATGGTGTGATAGGTGGGATGATGAGCACAATTTGAGGCGCATTGTTAGTGCACGAAAAACTGTAGGGTAATAGAAAATAATTTGGTTAATAACCATTTATGGTGACACTGCTATTTGAGGATGAGAATTATTTGATGAGTATGGGAATTACTAACTAAAAAATGTAACAATTAAGTTATCATGAAGAGGGACACTGAAAGCGATGATAGAATGCGAATGATAGACTCTAACGAGTGGGGAAAAAGAAAGGATGAAAACATGTTTATGGAGGAGAATAACAGAGGTATGCAAATTGTGAATACCATTCAGGCTGTATCATCAGGGAAGGCGTATATTCCTATTTGGTCTATATACGTATAGGAGGGTCATCTTAATGGCGACGCATTTTTGTTTTCTTAAGGTACCGTATACTAATATGGTTGTAAGAAGGGGCGAGAGCGGTTGTACTCAGGCGCGGATCCACGGGGAGGGGGAGGGGGGAGGGGGGGGGGGATGCGACAGACACAACCCCCCTTCCCCTTGCAACAGAAACAGTTTACAAAAAAGATGGGCCCCCATCCTTTGCAAAAAGAGTTTTAAGAAGATGGGACCCCACCCCTAGTAGTGAGCATATTTTTTAGGCCCTCGAAAAATTAAAAATTTGCACTCGGGGGGGGGGGGGGGGCATCGCCCAAAAAAGTTAAAAATCACGTGTTTTTACACTTTTTTTTCTCGATCCGCCACTGCCTCCCTTCCCCCCCCCCCGCCTGAGCGGGAAAAAACGGTAGGCGCAATTTTCAAATTTCAACCCCCCCCCCGCTCCCGCCCCCGCCCCCCATTGGAAAATCCTGTATCCGTCACTGGTTGTACCACTCCAGCTTACAGCTGATACACTGCAATTGTTTACTGAATCAACAGTCCTATCACAGAATGAAAGAGACATTTCAGAATTCTCGATCATTATTAGGCCATTAAAAATAATAAACATGTTAAGCGTGCCAGCCGCTTCCTTTTAAGGGGCCGCCTCCTTAAAAAAAAAAATTAAAGAATTGTATGTTCGTTTTTTGTTTTTTTTTCTTTTTTTGGAAAAGCACTGCTAAAATGATCTATTTCGGATTAAAAAAAAAAGGAAAAAAGCTGGCAGCCATTTTGAAAAATATGCCGACTGTCTGGGAAAATGTACCGAGCGGCCATTTTGAAGGAAAAAAAAGGCCTCCTCCTCCTTCCTATTTTTCAAAGAGGCAGGACGCTTAACATGTTTGTTTTTTAATTTGACCTTTCGTTCAGACTCAGACTGCACTATTCGAAACATGGAAATTAAAGAGCGCAATCTCAACAGATGAAATTATAGTCAATGAAATCAGTTTACGGTTATGGGCGCCATTTTAATTTACGGGTAAACAAACCATTGACCTCTAGAAGTCAGTGGTTTACGCGTAAAGTAAGATAGCGCCTATGCAAATATGATGTGAGCGCATAGCGCAGGCAGTGTCATCAAAGTTTTCAGGTGCGCATGTATGGTTGCGTCATTGCATGGGCGCTATCTTAATTTACGCGCAAGCCACTGACCTCTCGAGTTCATTGGTTTGTTTACCCGTATATTAAAATGGCGCCCATATCTGCGCATGCGCACTGTTGTTACCGTAAACTGGTGTATTATTACAAAAATACAGTTTTATTTCATGAGTGATCTGATTTTTTGGGGGTGTAATTTACAAGACTGTAAATAACAAACTTTATCAATCTTCAGTCGTTTAGACTCAACACAAACATTAGTCTTAGACCAAAAAAGAAAGAAGAGAAATACCTCGAGTTAATTGATATTTCTTCATAATTTCCAATAGGGGGCCATCTTCATGCTTCACTCCCTTGGATATAGAGCGACACAATCGGGATACAATCATTTATTTACTCGTTGGCTTTAGTTCACAAACCTATGTCACAATTTACTATATAAATTTCAGTTCTTCAGTTAGTCACTAACGGTTGAGGCTTTCTACTCAAATAACTTCTTTTGCATTGATGTGTGGGAGCCATATACAGTAAAGTCACTTTGCCAATGATATAATTGTTGATTATGGAAGTTACCATTGCCACACAGACTGAATCTTTGTATTCGGGGTGATATAACCTATTTTTTAAAGCACATTAGCACTTTTTTGTTTTATTATGAACGATTGTTACTTTCAAACACCAGTTCTCTTTCATCAGTGTTTATTGAATTAAAGCTGATATATACTCAACAATTTTTTTTTTCTCATGCAAAACATTA